GTCGAGGAAATCCTTGACCACGGCTCTAGCATGTGTAGGAGAGTGTCGAGAGTGGATGCGCGCGCGGAGAGCGCAGACGGCTCGCGCGTGGAGAGGGAATGACTGCGTGAGAGGGCGTGCCCGAACAGGTGAAAATTCCCGACGAGTTCTCGACGGATCCTCGACCTATCTTCACCATACTGGCGACAAAAGCAGTATTTTGCTGTTGGGTATTTCCCTAGTTACGTACTAGTTTTTTTTGATGGCTCCGATGTTCTTCAATCCTCTCCTGAATCAGTTCGGCTTGGAAAGGCGGTATCGCAGCAGAATTTGCTTCAGATTCAGTAGTGAACGCGTTCTGAATGCAGTTCTACCGTTGCTTCAAGTAGAGTAACTCTCATAGAGCTACAATGCAGCCTTGGGAAAACTATACCGACAGTGACCTATTTCAATCTGATTCAGGGACTCCTTTCGCTCTTCGTCCTCCAATGTATCATCGGATCGCAGTTCCCTACCATATCAAACATTTCGCCAATCGTTTGCACTCGGCACTTCGTGAAACGTATCAAGCATTACGTACACAGTACGTCACTGGAAGTGTAGCCGTTCAGGTTTGATCTTGACTATTTCATGATGATAACGTTCTTATTGGCAGCACCGCCATCCACAAACAGAGCTTTCCATATCCAGAAAACGACCAAAAATCCCACTTTGAATTTTTGAAACGGTGCCAATCTTACAATTGTCATTTTCTGCGCTCACTATGCGCGGTCAGAAACCGCGTGGCTAAGTGTAGGTCAGAAAATCCAGATTGCTGTGGCACAGCGATGGAAGACATTCCTCGCGCGAAATCTGCAATGGAGCTCTGCGTTCGAAAACTGGATGGACCTAATACTCTAGATAAAGCCTTCCTGGGTACTTAAACCGCAAGTACTTTACTGCTTCGACTCGGAATTACCACCGTAGGCTATTTGGCTACTCACTGGTGCCAAAGTGGATATCCTAACAACACGAGGTGGAAACACGTTCATTTCATTTGGTGGGAGAAGGGGGAGGAGAGAAACTGCTGCTTCGGCCCTGCTGTGCGAACAGACATTTCAACTGAAGCAATTGTCTGAAAAGTTGATGACCTTGACAGTCTGGTTCAGGAATCAATATCAATTCAGGGGCTGCACAAAATTGGCATCAATGATTTCGATTTTTCAAAACTGGCCACGCAATCGGCTTACAATTTCTTAGACGACATCAACTCGCTGGTTTATCCCTCTCCAGGTAAGAAGCTTAAGTTTATTTGCACATTGATCTTGAAACGTTACAAAGGTTTCTTTTTTCAGTAAGCACGGGAATAGTGGAAGTTGGGTTCCACTGCCCGCAACAAAAAGCGCTTCCGAGAGAATACGCTGAGTTCGTCAACGATCCAACATCTAGAGGCACGATTCTAGTGGCGTTTGGATCGAATATTATTTGGGACTATGCACCAGCAGAGATTATGGCAGCAATGATGGAAGCTATAAATGGACTAAATGAATACAGGTTCATCACTTTTGATGGTTATTTCGCTCAGTTTCTCATGTTGACAACACGTGCTTGTCTATTGGACTAGCCAAATTCATTCTAGGCTTTGGCCAAAAGAAGATTTTGCTCGTGGTTGGTGGACTATTTTTGATAGCCAAATAACCACGAGCAAGATTGCTGTGCTTTTAGGTACATAGATGGTGCATGCTATAAAACTCATAGCTGAATTTCTACAAAAAAAAAACAGAAAGTAGGAAGAGGGGCCAAGATTTTCGTAGTATCGATGGTTGAATTCTAATGGCACATAAGAGAAGTATTGAAGTGCAGAGCTGAATTGCGAAAATCGCGTTATGGTTCCGGGACAGCCCGAAAGCAGGAAAAAGATTTATAACTGAATACCAGTGAAGCAGGGTGACCAAACGCTTGAATTTCCGATAGTGAAGGTCAGCAATTAAAACTAAGGTAGAGGTGTCAGTGGACGCCAAAATGAATAAAACATGAGAAGACGGTCCAGAACTACGGAAATGGTCCAGCTTTTTTCCATCGAATCGATCATCCCATTTACCCATTTCTTGCATATTTGCCACTCTCATCGGTGCTGTCCTTCATCGCTATGCTCTCTCTCCTCTGCATATCAGCAAGAGACAGCAGCGAGTGGCTAACCAGCTGTGGCAGGTGTACGCACCAATGCATAGCGAAGAAGGCCATGCGAGTCGTAGCGGTACATGCTTCACTGCGAATTGCGTATCGTGCTGCACCCAAGGTGTCTCACTCGTCTTTCCACTTATTAAGCTCCTACTTCTTTGATCTTCGACTTTATCGTGGAATAGTCCTCTAATATGGACGGGCGTGCGCATGACAGCTAGACCTAAATCAGTAATTCCGCCTATTTTTACCTTTTGTCTAGTTTTGGGCCGTTCTTATGCTTATGGCGAAGGTTCATACAAACCTTCCACTTCCTTTCATCACGAAGCTACCAGCGAGCACCATTTGGGAATTGTTACTCTTCTTCTTCTTCTTCTTCTCCCTAGCGTTAGTCCCGCGCAGTCGCAGGGTCCGCTGTCTTTATCAGTCGTCGCCACTTCGCTCTGTCTAGGGCATCTTCCTGCTGTGGCCGTGATTTCACTTAGGTCCTTCTTGATTACGTCCTTCCACCTCTTCTTTGGGGCACCTCGCGGTCGCTTGCCTTGCGCTTCGAAGTCCATTGCTTTCCTTATTGGGTGGTCCTGTGGCCTCCTTAGCACGTGCCCATACCATCGCAGACGCTGTTCCCGTACCTTCAGCTGGACAGGGGCAGTCTGCATGACCGCTCTGACCTCCTCGTTCCTGACCCTGTCCAGTCGCGTCCAGCCGCAGGCCCACCTCAGCATCCTCATCTCAGCGGAGTGCAGCTGCCTTTCGTGATTCTTGTTCAGGGGCCAGCACTCGCTGCCGTATAGCATCGCAGGCCTCACCACTGCCCGATACACCTTTCCTTTCAGTGTTCTGGAGCACCTTCGATCGCAGAGGATCCCAGTGGACTCCCTCCACTTCATCCAGGCCGCGTTGATTCGTGCCTTCACTGCCTGATCCACACTTCCGTCGGCTGCCAGATCGCTCCCGAGGTATCTGAAGTCCTCCACTCTTTCGATGGTCTCACCATGGCCGTCCACGATCGGCTCTGCACCCTCTTCGGAGCTCAGGAACTTGGTCTTCTTGACATTCAGCCGTAGCCCGCCTTCTGCCAGGACCTTCTGCCATTGCTGCACCTTGGCCTGTAGTTCCTCTCTACTATCCGCTATCAGGGCGATGTCGTCAGCGTAGAGGATTGTCTTAATGGCCTTCCATGAGCCCGCCTTATGGACATCTAGTGTAAGGAGGAAGAGGAACGGGCTCAGAGCTGACCCTTGGTGCACCCCAACCGTGATGTCCACTTCCTTCGTTAGGCCGTGTGGGGTGCGTATAGCTGCCTTCGCCCCATCGTACATGTCCTTCACCAGAGAGATCAGGTGTTCTGGCACGTTCCGCTCCCTGAGCGCTCTCCATAGTACTGTTCGAGGTAGTCGGTCGAACGCCTTCTCCAGGTCAAGGAAGGCTAGGTAGCAGGGTCGGCGCTTTTCTCGGTACTTTTCCATCACTTGCCTCGCGATGAAGATGGCATCCGTAGTAGACCTTTCGGGCATGAACCCGAACTGTTCCTGGGAGATCGGGACCAGCTCCCGCAGTTTCGAGTCGACCAGTCGCTCGTACAGCTTCATTGTATGAGCAGTCAACTTGATCCCGCGGTAGTTGGAGCAGTCCATCGCGTCACCCTTCTCTTGTATCTCTCGTCTTCTACACTCGGGGCATCCGGTCTGCGGAGCGTACACGGACAGTATTGACCAGTACCCTCCTTCGTGTCTATCCTCACAGCCATGATCCGATCGCTGATCCTGTTCACAGCGGAGACATAGTCCTTGAGCGACTCCGCTACCGCTATGGCCACACCGTTCCGCTTGGTGTCTTCCCATTGTAGTAGAGTTTGACACCTTCCCGATTTCCCTGGCCTTGGCCCCTTTCCATCGCGTCTCCTGAAGGCATAGGACTTGAATTTTTCTGCGCGTCATCAGATCAGCAACCTCTCGGGACCTTCCAGTTAGCGACCCTACGTTCACAGTTCCAATTCGAACTAGCTTCTTTGGCCGAGGCCGTTCCCTCCTCGGTAGCCCTCGCATACTGACCACAGAACTCGGGCGGGGGTTCTGCGCGCCACTTCCGGGTGACGTCCTAGCTTTATCACTGATTCTTTGACAACTTTTAGACATGTTTGTTGTGACTGGGGTATTCATCAGCCGGCCTGTCAACCTGGGCCTGACGCTGGTACTAGAACCATTTTTGCAATTTTTGCAAGGCATGGTTTAGAGCCTCGGCAGGGATCGAACTCGCGGTTTTTCAGAGGTGCAGACATGAGTCTAACCTCTTAACCACTCGGCTATCCCTGCCTTTGGAAACTAGTGGCTCATCATCTGACAAATCATTTTGGGAGGCGAAATGAAATTGCGTCAAAAACCTCGCATAATAAAATTTGTATCATTTTTTCACAGTTCACGATGAATTGGTGATATTGGTTACATTCATAGGATTGTGTTCTCGTACAATGGTGACATGGAACACGTACGCTTTCTCGGAAAGCATGTCAAAGTTACTAGATGGGCTCCACAGAAGGAGATTCTTGCACACAACAAGACCGTGGCCTTCATCAGCCATGGAGGATTGAAAAGGTTAGTTTGATATTGTCCGATTCTCAAAGCTAATGTATCTCCGGTTAGTTGTGCTGAGAGAACGCCAGTTCAAACGCGCCATAAGAGCCGACGCCAAAAGAGGATGAGTTTAGGGGGAAGTTTAAATATCTATTTTTAGTACCAAGTTGTTTCTTTATATTTACTTCTTTATTCGGCATTGTACTTGTACATGTATAGATCAGAATTTTTCAGTGTAAAAGACGCTATATGTGGAGCTGTACCTGTTGTATACATACCTCTTTTCGCCGAGCAGTCCCATAACGGTGAAGTAGCGCGAATCGCTGGCTTCGCAGAAGTTCTTCATAAACACCATCTTACAGCGGAACTTATCAAGAGAGCAGTGCGGAGAGTTGCAGGTGGATTTTTCTCACCTTATATCCCCTTCAAAAAAACGAGAAGAGCGTCGGGCGCAGACCATACACCACAAGTCGACGGCCTTCACATAATGTAAATGTTTGCTGTCAGCGAACCGATTA